AACGCCATTTTCGGGGTCCCCGCGAGTCTCTCCTCCCCCTGCGTCCCCACAGCTTTTTCCCCTGAGCAACAACACCTCTCTGAACCATATAAGCAAACCTGAAAAACTTCAATTCTGAAGTAAGATTCAAAAAAGAAGCTTCAGGGTTACGTATATCATCAGAAACCTTGAGCATCAGGGAGCTGAGAGGACGGACCCTAAGGAACCTAGACCAGGCCGCAGAGATCCCCCAGGGATCTCATTAGTCTAGGCACCTGCCCCATTCCCAACAGACTATAGAACTGGCCCGCAATCTCTTCCACGGCCAGGTCGAAACGGACGGCACGGTCGGTAAGTCTGGGACCCTCAGGCATCGGTAGCACTGGGAGGGATGGGAAAGGGGTATCCTTATCCTCCATCGTCGTTGATCTGATCCTCCATCACACAGTAACAGACTACTCTCCCTCCTGTAATCTGGAAGGACATGATTAACATCGGCTCAACCAACCAGTTCTTACCTGCTACTCTTTCACTTCAACGGATAGGTTCAGAACAAGGAATCAGTGAATACCCTTCGAGAAACTGAATGAAATATTATGTAAAGTAAAATATCTCAGATTAAAACTTACGTTTGAATTCCAAGGCCTAGTGCTTCCAGGAGCTCCGATCTTCTCCAGCATTCACCTGAAACAAATATGAAATCGTCATCGCTCAATATCTGCATATCATTTCACCTTCGCTCCTTCATGTGTTTCCGCGGAAGAAATCCCTTCACGATTGCTTAGTTATCCTTCACATAGCAGGGTTGTCCGCAACTAGAACTCTCTCTGAACAAGCCGTAATTTAGGTCGACTATTGAATCCAACTCTGCAACATATGGAATTATGCGTTATGGAAGCTTCTCAAATCATTATGTACCTGATTATTCCCTTGTCTTTCACTACAAACGTCAGTACGATACCCTTTAAGCTCAACACTTCTTCTTCAGTTGGAGGGTGTTAGACATCTGATAACAAGGATTACAATCGAGATGATCAATTACCTGCGTACAACCTCCGTGCAGCGTCCGTACATCGCAAGTAGAGAACTTTTTCCAGCTTTACGGAATAGATTTGCTGAGGTTGAATTGACCCTGACGATCCGAACACAATACAAGATTCCAGTTCGTTCAAAACTGTAATGAGCCTGAAAAAAACTAAACTATCGATATAGTTTTTGTGTGTACTGAAGTGTTTTCTTACTTCAAAGCACAACATAAGGCCATGAGCTTGAGCACAGCCGCTTACTATCATTGATGAGAGGAATAAAACTTGTATCAAATTCATTCTTGACTTTCTATTCAAGTGAGCGGTGTGTTAGACTCTGCAATTGGCTGAACGTCATACCTCTGCTGCAAATGATCTAAATAGGATGAATCTTTCAGTTGATCCCTAGAATAAGACAAACATGAATTTGAGAAGACTGACCAAAACCCACTGGTAGTTTCTATCCAAAACATTCTGCACCCAATCTGATTGGTAGGAAAGCACATCCAACGTTCGATTTCAATACCAACAACAGAAAAGAGCACTTTCAGGGTCTTAGTTGTGGCAAGAC